AATTTTAGTAGGTTCAGCAAACTCCTTAAATGTTTACTCCACTTGATGCATGCCAATAATTTGACCCTTCTGACACAGATTAACATCTTCCATGACTACAGGATGTGATGCTGACATGGTTTTTAAAAAATGAGGAGCTACTCTTTAGGGTTAAACAACTTGTTACCAGCTGAAACATAATCATCCATGCTGCAATTATCCAATGGGCGGCTCACCTATTTGCTTAGCTATATCAGGTGGTGACTTCTTTGGACAGGCAGTGTATCCTTTTTATTTCTGTGCGTGTAGGAGCTACAGTACACCACACTTAGCAGTTCAGCATGGGCATTGGTCTTTTTATAGGTCTACGTGCATATGAGGGAGAATTATTTCTTCATTAGTTCTTTACTGACCATCACACGTACACTCTGACATGAAGCTCAGTAAGCACACAACATTGTTTTGGATCTTTTACAAAATGTGTCATAAAAGCCAATTTTGCTGTGAATCTTCAGATTTGACCTTAAATTATAGTGTGAATGATTAGTGAACCAGGACTAAATGCATTAGTTTTTGTTTTGATCTGGTACTAACAAACCAAGTGAACCAAACTACAAGTGTGAACATGCTCTTTGATGCAAATCCAGTGCTTAGTTCTTTCTCCAAACCTTTCGTAATATTATCTTTGAGCCTTGTAAACACTATTTTGTTTTGCTCCAGGATGGTCCTGTGTGAACGGAACATTTGATGTTGCTGTGAGTTTCAGAAGTGTTTTCCACTTTTGACTTTAGTGTCCATTAGACAGTCAGTATCGGTTTGCTGTCTGTGGCCATGGTAACTGGCATAGTTGAGTAATGCAGGAGTATTTAGGTTAATGTATGGTCTTCAGTCTGCATCGGGTTTCTCTTTTTTCCCCTCTGATTTCATTCATTTTGACTCTGCTAATCAGAGATCTAATATTTTGCTTCTCTAAATTATTTTGTTTTTGTTTTAAATACTACTGTAAATATGCTAAAATCATTGAATTTACTATAAAAAAAATGCAGTGTTTGCCCTACCATTATATTATGGTGGAAGTCAAGTAAATTTTATTTTCTATACAGCACCAGATCACAACTTCTTTTAATAAACAAGCAAATAGCCGTATATAATTTCATATTTACACAACGGCATGTCATTTCTGTCTCTTCATGGTCTCGTGTTTACAAATTTCTGCTCTCTGAGTCGCGAATTGTGGAGTTCCATACAGCCACTCTCTGCTGAATGGGAATGAGAGTGCACGCCACATCTGACTGGACCGATAGTTCTCAGACCTTAATGCTTTATTTTTAAAGTTGTCGTTTAAATCTTGTGAAAAGAGCTAATTTAAAAGGATTTTTTTGTACTTATAGTCTCACAAAATGTCATCTGACATCTGGCTAACAACATTGTTTTGATAAGATAACATTGCCGTTACGTAACACCCATGAATTTTGGCTGGCTAGGATGTCGCGTCAACATCAGAATTCTTTAAACATTCCCAATGTAGTGACGATGGCAGCACTCTCTCTTTTCTGCATGTAGCAGCCAGAGTCAGAGGCGCCGCTAAGGGGAAAAAGGTAGGACACTTCTAATGGCCCATGGCCTACCACCAACCCACGTTCGCAACACTGTGCACTAATACATTTAGCACAAAAATAAGACACTTTCCATACCAAGAAGCTCTGGAAATGTTCTTCCAGAAGCCCAGAAAGATTCACTGCAGTGACAAAAGCTGCACACTTTGTAGATTAAAAAATATTTAAAAATAAATGTAAATTTTTAGCTTGTACAGTTCAAATAATTGTTCAGTTATTTACTGCTGTCATTAAACGAAATAAATGAACACCATGAATGACTCCTAGTGTTTGTGTCGGTGTCAGCCTGAGCAGTCGCATCACTCCACACCCCCAATGCCCCTATCACCCCCCACAAAACTGTAAACCTATATGTCATTCATTCATTTTCAGCTTAGTCCCTCTTTTTATCAGCGGAATGAACCGCCAACTTATCCAGCATATGTTTTATGCAGCGGATGCCCTTTTAGCTGCAAACCAACACTGGGAAACACCCATACACTCTTGCATTCACACACTACGGCCAACTAAGCTTATTTAATTCACCCATACCACACGTCTTTGGACTCAGTGACCTTCTTGCTGTAAGGTGATCGTGCTACCCACTGTGCCACCTTCATTTCCCCAATCTAAGTGTTATATGTAATTAAATTGTGTATGAATTAAAGTATTAATTTTATTAAATGTTTAATTATGTAATTATCTCAAATAAATAATAATGCCAATTTTAAGAATATTTGCATAAACCATTGTATGACTTAAATAAAACTGTTTTCTCTAAAAGTCTGTATTATGGTCTGGCTTATGCCTTAACTAACAGGAAAAAGCTTTGACAACTGTATTTAAAAGGGATTTTCCCCCCCTAGAATTTAGGAGACCACACCCATAATGCATTGGTGAAAACCAGTGACTTTTGCACTCTGGCAGAACACAGGCCTTTCATTTCAGTAGTGCAGCCCATAGAAAGTGGTAAGGACATTTGGGAGGAGAAGACGACTGTAATGTATATGGGCAATCCTGCAACTTCGATTATACAGTTTCATGTAGCAGGAAACTGTTCCTAGACCAGCACAGAAAGCCTACTTTCATCCTGAAGCGAGTGAGTGGGTGCGAGGAGACAAAGTGTCTTGACGGCTGCGATCCCAGCATCCATCCCGGCTCCAGCGGCCTAGCGTCTTTCCAGACCTGTAATTCCGTTGGTCTTTTCCAGCGGTCTCGACTTGTTTTTTTTTTTCAGCCCGGGGCTTGAGCTGTGGCCTGGTGCCCTGTTTATCTTGTGAGAGCACTCATTTAGTAATTTCACACCCATAAACGTCTTCCTTAACCTCATCCCTCTCACCCACGTTAATTAACTTTTATCAGTTTAGGAAATGAAACCGCACTCGCCTTCACCTCGCTTTTTAATTGGTGGTGTTGGTTGTTTTAGAGGACACGAGGGCAGGGGCTTTGTCAGGGGAGACACACAGGAAACCACAGCGGTATGCGATGAAACTAACAACACAATGTGTTCATCTGCACTGAATTCAGTTGTTGTTAATCCGTTGTACAGATGTCATCTTAAACCCAAATTGTTTAATAGAGCGATTTGATGGCTGTGTATGTACTGCATCACACAAACGGCGAATCGTCTCCGGTGAGCTGCCTTATCTTTAAATTATATTATGTCGTAAGTTTATTAAAGCCGTGCCTCGGTAGCATATAGGTTAATCAAGCTTATTGGAGCGTTGCAAATTTGCTTTGTTTCCTTCAGTGTCGAGGAAAACAAAAGATAGACGATGTGTGTGGAAACGTAATGACCGTCCGCGTGCTTTGTGTGTTCCGTGCATGTGTAATGGATTTGATTTAACCCTTGTTGGCTTGCATGTATAAAGTCTTTCTCATTTTCCTTCAGGGATGAATAAAGTTGCAGCTCTTTGATGCGCTTCGATCCTGGGTTTCCTCATTATCATTCCATCACCCTCTCTCTGTTTGTTTGGGTGATGTGGGTCAGTGGTCTTTAACATGGTTTTGCTTCAGGACTAGGCTTTTATATATGGACATTGAGTTGATTTGAAACATCTATTGTTTTTTTTTTCTGTACTTACTGTGGTTTAGTGCAGTGTTTTATTTGCCTTTAGTGTTATTTTGGGTCAGGACAGACAGACAGGAGAAACTTTTGGAGTCCTGTGGTAATGATTACAAGAATGAGAGTGAATTAAGCCCAGTTTCCTTTGTAGGTCTTGTCACAAATTGTGTGTGTGTGTGTGTGAGAGAAGTTACAGCTCAGAGATCACAGGGACTTCATTATGGGAACTCTGTCTTATACTTACGCTCTACACACTCTCTTTTTTTAATCCTACTTTCTGTCTTTCTGTATTGCCTCCACTCTCATTATTAACGTTTTGCTGTTTAACATTTGCCCTGTATTTATTTAAGAACTATCAGAACTAGGCCAGCAGGCACATAACATCATAAGACGTTAATATTAGGTTAGATTTAGGTCATGACGTCTGGTGCCTAAAATTCAATGTCTAGCCAGCGTCTAAGGACAACTTCATTTTGACGTCCAATAATGAAGTCAAATTACGTTGATATTTGGTTGATTTTAGGTTGTGTTAGAAAGTGACCAAAATCCAACGTCTTGACAGGTGTCATAGTGGTAACGTCTACACAACGTCAAGGTGTAACATCATTAGACGTTGGTTTTTGCTTGATTTTAGGTTGGGTGTTGGGTTCTGACGTCAACCCAATTTTCATTTAAATACAAAATGCAACTTCCCCATGACGTTGGGGTATGTTGGGGGTGACGTCCTGTGCCTGCAGGGAGGGCTGCACTACATATACCGTCTCAGCATCAATATCTCAATGTGATCATTCACAATAGTTATATCGCAGCATACACAATGTTGAGTTTGTAATAGTTTTTAAATGTGTTTTTGAGGCCTATAACTGTTTTTTAAAGCACCTATGCATAAGAAATTGTATCATTGAATTATTAATATTTTTTTTATTCAATTACTGTATGTGAATACAGTTAGACTCGGAAACAATAAAACTGTTTATTTCAATTGTATCTTTTGCTTTATTCTATTTATCTATGCTTGTATTGTTTATTAGATTTTATGCAAATGCAGTTCCCTGCTGTATCACCCAAATCAATCTAAAATGATCAATTCTTTCCAAGTCATCTGGTGAAATTATATTCATATTGCTATATATAATTAAAGAATTATAAAATATTGCAATGTAAAATTTTTCCAATATCATGCAGCCCTAATCAGAACTAATATTTTAGGCAGAATTTGGTACCTTCATGAAATCTTCTTCTGTTGTATTTTAGAATGGCTGTGTGTTGTAACAGTGGAGGGCCACATTGTAATTTTTTATAATTCAATTAATTGTATCATTTTGAAGATGTTAACCGTTTTTTAATTGTATTTTTTCCAGGCAGTGGACTGATAGGGAACTCGTCTGCCTCATTCATGGGGACATTTCTGGCCAGCAGTCTGGGATCTCCTCCGTCCCACCCCAGCGGACCCCCATCATCCCCTTCTTCTCCACCCTATCGCTCTGGACCTCACTCTACAGCCCCGTCACAGATCTGGTTCCCCCACTCACATGAAGGTAAGATATCATCATCTGTCTGTCATTTTTTTTTTTGTGTGTATGTGTTTTTTCTATCTCATTGGGGTGCAGTGGGTAGCACAATTGCCTCAGCAAGAAGGTCGCAGGTTCGAGCCTCAGCTGGGTCAGTTGACATTTCTGTGTGAAGTTTGCATTCTTCTTATGTGAACATCAAATCCTTCCTACTTATATTTGACTGGTCATCTTAGTTATTTTGACATTGAAAAGCACTGCAGACCAGCCTTAAAATGTAAACTTGTCATCCAAACAAATAAGTGCTGTACACTCTCAGACAAAGTGGTACAATCTTGTACCAAAGAAGGTACAAAGCCTTTTCACTGGGGCGATACCTTTTTATGGAACAGAATTGTACCTTAAGACAAAGAAACAAATTTGTACCATTGCAGTTTGTACCTTTAAGGACATGATTTGTACCATGGGAAACCAAAATGTGACTGGTTTTTAAAACCTGCAGATATAATATTGTACTTTTATCAAAGGTACACATCTGCTCCATGAAGGTACCACCACAGTGACAAGACACTTTGTACCTTAACAGTGTCAAATGTGTTCTTTCAAGAACTATTTAAAGGCATTTTGCTTTATGCGAAATGTGTCAATTTATTTTCACTAAATATAAAACATCAAATACATTTTTAAACAATGTTTTAGTTTTAGTTTCAGTATTATAAGTTTTTTTTTTGTACTACAGTTGAAGTTAGAATTTTTGAACCCTCTAAATTATTAGCTCCACTGTTTATTTTTCCCTAATTTCTGTTTAACAGAGAGAAGATTTTTTCAACACATTTCTAAACATAATAGTTTTAATAACTCATTTCTAATAACTGATTTATTTTATCTTTGCCATGATGACAGTAAATAATATTTTAATAGATATATTTCAAGACACTTCTACACAGCTTAAAGTGATATTTAAAGACTTAACTAGGTTAATTAGGTTAACTATGCAGGATAGGATAATTAGGCAAGTTATTGTATAATTATAGTTTGTTTGTTCTGTAGACTATTGAAAAAAAAATCTAGCTGAAAGGAGCTAATAATTTTTACCTTAAAATATTTATAAAAAAAATTAAAAACTGCTTTTATTCTAGTCGAAATAAAACAAATAGCACTTTCTCCAGAAGAAAAAATATTATCAGACATACTGTGAAAATTTACTTGCTTTGTTAAACACCATTTGGGAAACATTGAAAAAGAAAAAAAATGCAAAGGGGGTTTTATAATTTTGATTTTACCTGTATATAAGCTCCCATTTTACAAAGGTACCAAACTGTTCCTTGAGAAACCACAGTGTACATTTTTTTCTGAGGGTGTATAATGGAGTGCATTAAAGCAGTTCAAAATTTTCTTATTATTAGAATTTCTAATTATTAAATTAATTACTGGTGATTATTGGTTATTCTATTATTCCATCTGTAATCCATGTCTGTATGTCTTGCAATCTTTCAGGCTTAGTTCCATTTATCAATCATTCTATTTACACTGTAAATCCCAATAAGTTAAGGTAACTCAAACCATTTGAAGAAACCAATTGCAACAAACCATTTAAGTTCAAAAACTAATCCTAATAAGTACTGTAAACTTAATTCAACTGAGTAAATGAAGCAATTTGAGCACAGTAAAGTCCAATAAATGAAGAGAACTCGAACCAACTGATTACTAACCCAGTAAATAAAGGCAATTACAACTGTTTGAGGAAACCGTTTGCAGCAAACCATTGGAGTTAAAAAGCTAATCTATATGAGTACTGTGAACTTACTCCATTTAAGTTAAAATAATAAGGTATTTAATTAAATCATTACCTTCAACACTGAGGTCAAAACTCTTTTCAAATGAGTAGACTTAACTTTCAGTCAATTTTGAGTTAACTACACTCATTTTATTTGATAAAGTTGATTGTTGGGTTTTACAGTGTATGGTTCTATAGATTCTTCTGTCTGTATTGTTCTATCTGTTATTTTAAGCATTCTATTAGTTCATTTATCTATCGTTATATCGTAATACCATTCTGTATTTCTGTCTCTCTATTGTTCTGTTTATCATTCATAAGCCAATACATTCTAATACACAAACAAGAACTCACTTGTATATCACCAGCATGCTTTTCTGTATTAGTTCACCGTCGTCTTCATATTTTATTTTTATACACACGCTTAAATGTGTCTTATGTGCACTCTGTCTGCTTATATTTAAATATAGAATGCCCATAATGTGCAATATGTTCTTTTAAATGTTTATAGATTTTTATATAAATGTTTACGCTTGAGTGTGTGTGTGTGAGTGTAGTGTCTATTTGTGTTAGCATGCACATGCTTGTTCTTTTTAAATAGCATGCACAGCTGAGCACTTGCTATTGGTATTTTCACAGATCTGTGTACAACCGTGTACAAGTGTATGTGTGTGTGTGTGTGTGTGTGTGTGTGTGTGTGTGTGTGTATCAGTGCGGGTTAACTGCTCTGTATCTGCGGAGCTCTTGGCAGCTGGCAGAATGGAACAGTAATTGTGGTTGGCAGCGAACACAGTGGTGTTACTGCTGGCACCCAGCGCTACTGTAACTGAATGACTGAACAAATCTGCGCGTGCGAGACAGAACGAGAGAGTTAGAGGGAGAGAGAGAGAGAGAAAATCAAGCACCGACCTAGTGCTTATTCTGCAGCGCACGGAGCTTTATATAAACCATCAATAACTCTACAATAATAATCATCCTAGCTGTAATGATGATGCTTCTGATTATCACTATAAAAATAATAATAATAGAGCTAATAACAATAATATTAATAACAGAATGTGTCTATAATGATGCGAACGGCCCCATCGTGATGATAAGAGCTCATTATCCGAATCAGTCTTTAATTGTGCTTAGCCCCTCAAAGCTGCTGATTGGATGGCTCCGTTTCCCCCCCAGCCGCGTCCCTGCGCTCCCTCCTTCATTTGCATAAAAAGCATGTCATCAAAACGAACCATGCAATTACCCCGGCCCCGTTCCCCTGGAGACGGTCCAGCTACCGATGATGTGACGCCCCACCTGACCCATTAGGCCGGGGGGGTGAAAGGCGGAGGACAGGAGAGAAAAGCGTCCGTTGATTGGATCTCCTGTGCGGTCCTGCAAATTGTTAATTAATATTCATTAACTTTATGAGGATGCTGCTGTAATGTCTGTCGGCAATTTAGTAAATTACCTTAAAAGCAAAACGAATAGGGGGAAGGAAATGAGCGTCATTGTGATGGGATTTTATAGGGAAGTAAGGATGGTCGACTGTTAGATGTTCACTGTTTTTTGGGGGCTGATATGGGGGTTTCCTTTCCCGACCCAGGGGTCTTGTGACCCTTACGGTTAAACCCAACAGCAACGGCCTACTTCCTGCTCAGACAACCGACACTCACATAGGGGGTGTGCATCTGTGTGGGTACGCGAATGCGGTTTTAACTGAGAGATGCCGATGGTTAGAAGCATCACCACAGGGAGGTGCTGGCTTCCGGACCCTGTCAGTGTGTGTGTGTGTGTGTGTGTGTGTGTGTGTGTGTGTGTGTGTGTGTGTGTCTTCTCTGCTTTTTGGCCCCTTGGCTCCTCTTTTGGCTATGAACAGTTTGTGGTCGGGCACCACTTTTTAGTGCCTCCTTTATCTCTCCCGGTCAGGTGTGCGTGTGTTTTAGAGAATGTGTGTGTTTATAGTCATATCACAGAAATAAGCCAGTGATGAGACATGCTGGCTCAACCTAACTGATAACCAGATAACTGAACACCCAACCGCCTTAAGGCAGACAGATCAGCAAAAGGTTTGTGTGTTTTACAAACAGAAAACATAAGATATGGACTGGACTCAAACAGTTACGCTCAAATTATTCAAAACCTGTTTTCTTTTTTCTCCCGTTGAGAGTTGTTTAGTAGATACAAGATAACGCTGCTCTTTTCTATGCAACTGATACTAAGGTCAAGCCTCAAAATGAGCATGTGCTATAAAGTATGATCAATTGAAATCAGCTAGTTGGTTTCAGTCAGTCTTTATTCATTTCCTGAAGGCAATTTGGTTGCAGCATGTCACACATAATACACAAAAACACATCGTACAATGCAGTTCCAGTCTTATAGTTCTGTATTGATACATTCTTCAGTATATATTTGCTGTCCCTAGCACTCAGTATGATTATAATTGTCATGTTTGAATAGATTACAATTAACGTCAAAAGGAGGAACAGTTTTACTTTTATTTATTAATTTTTTTGTTTGTTTAATTTTTAATATAAATAAATATATATATATATATATATATATATATATATATATATATATATATATATATATATATATATATAATGTATGAAATATGTTTGCAAAATGTTGTACTTCAATGTGTACAAAATAAAAATGAAAATAGAAATATTATGAAAAAAAAACACATTGTACAATACAAATCTACCCTAAATTAAAAACTTTACTGATTAGGGGATTAATGAAAGTTTGAATCGATTTGTTTTACTAATAGGAGTTCTGTATCGAATACAAAAAGGAGAAGATAAAACTGGTGGTGAATCATCTGATAGAATTATCTGAGCTTTACTCAGAACTTGTCAATGGTATAACTGAGTTATGCTCATCTGTTTTCTCCCTGTTTTTTTTCTCAAATTTTCTCCAAACAACTCTTAGTTTTCACACTTGAAGGATTAAAAAACCAACAAAGCAAGAAAAAGAAGTGACTGAATGTTCGAACTGTAAAACTTCCACATAAGTGATTTATCTATATTAAATGATCTTAATTTCTGTAAACAGTACAATCTTTGCTGCCCCTTCTTACCCGAAATATTAGTATTGAGAGAAAAGGACAATTTATTATCTAAAACAGTACCCAAATACTTGTATCGATCAACATTCTTAACACCCACTACATTATTACTTGTTTGCTTACCCTTAAATTAAAGTTATTTAATTATTTTTATGTATTGTGATGTACATGCGTGTAAGACTAAATATTAAAAATATT